GAGAGTTGAGAGTATTTCAGATGAAGGAGATGGTATGAGTAAAAAGTCAGAGGTGGCAATGCATGGTGTGTTTGAACATAGTAACTGTGCTAAGTTGCAGCAGGGGAAAAAAGAGCCGTTGGGAAAATGCTCAGAATTGTGCCTTTTCAGATTAAGTGATTTGAGGCAGGAATCTTGTGGAAGTTTATGGCAGTAGTACAGGAGGAAACAAACTCAGGTGATTACGGGAAGACTCGAAGAGTGGATGAATTGAAACCTAGCGGAGAGACACTCTGGTCTTCGGAAACAACACAGAAGGGAAAGAACTGATGCCTGGGACTGTCCACCTTTACAAACAGAAAACCATGCTACTTTCACTGTTATTTTTTCACCCTGATTATTTTTTTTCTTTCTTATTTCATAGCTGGAAATTAGTTAAAGAATATTGTTTATGGGAAAGAAAAATAGAAATAACATGATTTATTCAATGAAGAAGCTTTTCTGGGGGCAGCCAATAGATACTGAAGTAGTGAGAAGCTAAGCACACTGTTGGCTACATAGCACAGAAGTGCAAACCCAGGCATGGAATGGAAAGTGGCCTGTCTTTGGTAAACAGAGGGCCAAATTCCTCCTCAGGATTAGCCACCTCTTTTTTCTCCAGTTGCCTAAAAAAATAAAAAATAATAATAAAAAACACAGCAGAGAATGCTATATACCCTTAACCAAGTCTCAGTGAGTTTAAGGCATGCCCTCCCTACCTTTGGGCACTCAGGGAATCCCATTCTGAGCCCCTCTCACTGGTCATCGTTGGCTGTGGGAAGGATGGCACTGTGGGTCTGTTGGGAATTTCTCCGTAATTGCAGTTCTGAGTCCCTAATGCATACACTCTCCTTGCTAGATTTGTTCTGCTAGGTGACAGCTATTGATGCTCGGATAAGGCTATTAACTTGCCCAAGTCCACTCTGCCCCACCTTTTTTTGAGAATTATTTTCTAATCTCTTGGTGACACACTAGAGGCATTGCAGTACAGGTAGAAGTGGGTATTTCAGCCAGCCAGGCAAGAGAACTTGAATGCTGGCTCCTCAATGTACCAGCTGTGTGACTTATGCCAAGTCACCTAACAACTTAGGGACTCAAAGAAGCAGGGCTGTTGTCTCTAGATAATTAAAATGAAAAAATGTTTGTGTACCATCTGTCCTGTCACAGTGTCTGCAACTACTGTGGGCTTATAGTTTTTTTTCTTCCAAGGAATTTGGGATTTTGTTCCTAACCCTGCTATTTATTTACTTTGCTCATTTCTGAATCTGAGCTTTTAGACATGAAGCATACCCGAGGTTTACTCTAAGAAATACTAGCTCATAAAATAAGCAACATGTAAAGAGCTTCTGGAGGGTGCAATTACTGAAGCTGCAGAGCTTTTACCAAGCTGCTCTGCTTGTTATTCATTAACACAGCAGCTTGGTAAACTTAGGTAGATACATTCCTGAAGGCTCCACAGGATATATTTACTCTAGTAACAAACTAAGTAATCAAAGTAGTGTGTCCTCTTGCACGGCATTATCACTGTCCACCACATACTAGTAGTGTTTATTTCGCTAGATCCTTGTATTTCGCTAGGCTTGTATTTCAGGATAAGCCTCATGCAGAGCTCATTTTATCATTTATATTTAAGATAAGTAGAGAAGAAAGAGAATGCTCTTTGAAGTTAGGTTACTTTAGTTTTCTCATGGTTTATAAAAGGGGCAGAGATTTGGGAAAAGGAAGCAAATATTTTGGCTAATGTGGTCAAACACTCTTTTCTGTTGACAAGTTAAGATAATCAGGTGTTCTGCATTTTGCCACTTTCCTTTGTTATTTTATTAAGTTTTTTTTTTCCCATGAGCTCCGCACAATAGGCAGAACTCAAGGAAAGCCCATAGATACAAAGACATTCAAGACTAATATTAGAGAAAAAAGAATAATAAGAATCCTGTAACAGCCTTAGTCTGTTTAGTGTTTCTTTTTTGGAGGAATCTAGCTTTTTAACACTTGGAGGAGCAGTCACAGGACTATCTGAGGCCCTGGGGGAAAGATGGCTATGGCCTCTTATGGCTCTTATAGTGCAATTTGATCTTTTAAAATGTGACCTCTTAAACACTTTGTATTATGGCTGTGAGCATTATCAGTTGAATTTAATGAGTGACTGGGGTATAGAAAACCCTTTGAGATTGCCTGTACCAAGCTTGCACCAAGGTAGACGGGGGGATGCTATGGCATCCAAATGGTGAGCATTTTTGAGGAGAGGCTTCTGAGAAAGCAGTTTCTGGCTAACGAATTGATATGCTGGTGGGTGGTAACAGAAGTTTGAGATCCACACCCTGTTCTTGAAGGTATTTGTACTTGGCCTGCAGGACTAATACAAGAAACAACCAGTATGTGGTAGCTTGTGACCAAGTTTAATTATGAACTCTAAGTGTTCAAGCATAGGGCACGTTTATGAGAACTGAAGCTTTCAAGAGAAGCAGCACTGCAGTCTGGTGTTTAAGAGGGTACAGATGAGCTTGCGAGGTGAAGCATTTAAAAGATGTAGTGATTTGAGAGGCCAAGGCGGGCGGATCATTTGAGGTCAGGAGTTCGAAACCAGCCTGGCCAACATGGTGAAACCCCATCTCTACTAAAAGTACAAAAATTAGGTGGTAGGCGCCTATCACCCCAGCTACTTGAAAGGCTGAGGCAGGAGAATCACTTGCATCCAGGATTTGGAGGCTGGAGTAAGCCTAGATTACACCACTGCACTCCAGCCTGGACAACAGAGTGAGACTCCATCAAATGAGTGAATGAATGAATGAATGAACAAATGATGTGGTGGTAAAGCTGGCTAGTCTAGAACCAAGAGGATTTGCCAAAGAGAAATATTTTAAAATGGAAGCAACTGAAGAGGACTTAAAACCATCTTCTTCAGTCCCTTGTTTTACTTCTGGCAAGCCCTGGGAGCTGAAGGGGCACAAGGCTGATGGGACAAAGCAAGGTGTTGTGAGCCGGGGTTATGGGAAACCTTGAAAGGTAATGCAGTGTAGAATTTAGGTGCTTGGATGCTTTGTGAGAAACAAAGTGCATGGTGGGAGGACTTTTTAGGAAGAATTTAGTTTAGGAGCATGAACGGTGCTAAACTTGTGGTATTGCCTGAGAATCCAGCATTGTTATTCTTGTCATTGAAGAAATAATTCTTCATACTTACCCCTTTGGTTTATTGGTCTTTTGGCTGTTTGCTTTCCTGTCTCCTTCCTGCCCCCTGCCCCCATCTTCAGTGCAATCCCCTCTATGTTTTTATTTTTTTTTTTGAGACGGAGTTTCGCTCTTGTTACCCAGGCTGGAGTGCAATGGTGCCATTTCGGCTTACCACAACCTCCGCCTCCTGGGTTCAGGCAATTCTCCTGCCTCAGCCTCCTGAGTAGCTAGGATTACAGGCACGTGCCACCATGCCCAGCTAATTTTTGTATTTTTAGTAGAGACGGGGTTTCACCATGTTGACCAGGATGGTCTCGTTCTCTTGACCTCGTGATCCACCCGCTTCGGCCTCCCAAAGTGCTGGGATTAGAGGCGTGAGCCACCGCGCCCGGCCAATTGCCTCTATGTCAATGCTAGGGAAGGATTACACTTCCCAGGGCAATTTGCATTTTATTAATAACTGGAACACCATTTTAAGAGAAAACAATGCATCTAAAAGTAAAGCTTCGGGCCACAGTGACTTCAAATTTTAAGGCTGGTAAAGTATCCTTCATGTATCCCTAAAATCAGGATATATAAGTGGAACAGATTGGAAGAGGGGGAACCTAAAGATGTTGTGTGTCTGGCACCCAGTAAGTACTCATATTTTTAAATGAATGAATTAAACTTTGTAGTTAATGAATGAACTGATGAATAAGGCTCAGGAGTGCAGGGTTTTTAGAGAGTGAAAAGGAAGAATAGTGGAATTACATCCCTCTTAAAGGAGGGATTATAAATGTTGTTTTATAAATTTTTAAAATTAAATAATTTAATTATAAATTTTAACAGAGAAATTTTAAAGGAGGACTTGGTGACTATGTGGTCCCAAGATGTGTGGAAGAGAACATTAAAATATGTATACATAGTTGCAGAATCTAGCTGTTGAGGAGCGTATCCCTGACAGAACCAGGACCCAGAAGAGTTCTGTCTTCGATCATATGAACACACAATCGTCATTTTTGAGTACACATTTGAAAACATTCCTTCACTTCACCTGTCTACAAGTGAACTTATGTGAATCACTGCCCTGCTTCCTGATTATTCTCTGTGATGTCCTCTGTTCAACTTTTTCTTCTGTTTCTCTATGCCCAGAGAAATGGGAGGAAAAGTAGGGCTCAGTATGAATTGGGTACCCAGATTTCTTACAAAAGGAACCAAAGAATTCTTATCCTTTCTTCTACTTTTATCACCACTTTGAATTTGTCATGTCAAAATTTGTTTAGGAAAACCTGTTTATTTCAGAAAAAAAAAAAGATACAGGCCATTGTTTAGAAGTTATGCTTGCAGTGACTCACACTTTTTGCCTCTCTTTTGCATGGGATATGTTGCCCTTAGTTATGCAGAGATAACAGTCTGACTTGCCTCCCAAAAGCATTCTTCCTTGACAGACTGGTTTGCTCTAATCTGTATAAACACTCTTGCCTGCTGACCAGTAGTCTTGTATTTATGAGGCCCTTAGAAAACACTGGAAACTGCAGAGTGACCATGAATAGCAAACTTAATTTGGTTTAATGTGTTTTGGCTTGCTTGACCTCACCAGAATAAAAATGTGCCTGCTTAAATTATTGTATTGGGACTTAAAAAAAATTATAGAGACATTTATCTCATTGGAAGACTCTCAGGATCATTTTAGCAAGGGTTTAAGTCCATGTTTAATGTCAGATAGATTTGAAATGTTTAACATAGAGCTTTAATCACAGAGTAGGTTTTTGTAAGTTCTGAATTTTAAGTCTGAGTGACTATTTTTTTTCTTACTACTTTTTTTTTTTTTCTAGACAATTGGCTGGCAACGACCTTTCTTTTATCCACCCAAACGCCTTGTCTGGGTTGAAAGAACTCAAAGTTCTGTAAGTAATGCAATTTTAGAGTTTCACAGCTGGCTGTGTATTTTCTTTCTGCATAGTCAACATGCTTGGAACTAGGTGAAGCACAGTTTCTTTTAGTCAGGATTAAAAGATTTAAGAAGCGGCCAGTGGGTAGTATGGGAGGCTAGAGGTTGATTTAGGCAACCCTGCGTCTGGATAACAAAAGGTAAAACCTAAATAATAGGCATTCTGACCTCCAGTATACTACAGTTGAATGTTAGGCTTTTTGGGTGGCTAATGCATTGAATCAAACCCATACTTAAGTTTTACTGGTAGGGTTTCGTTTCTACTTATTTTATAGCAATGAGAATTTTGAATTACCTGACCCTAAAAAGGAAAAAGGCTTACAAGTGCTTCAAATGTTAAAATAAATTTAGAGCTAAAGGGCATTCACATGCCTACAATTTATATTGCCAGTGAAGGATGAGGAAATAAATTCCTGGCAGTGGTCAGGAGCCTGGAGTGTGGCAGATTAGGAAACAGGTGAACTGACTGCCCCCACTTCTGCCACTACATGCTGGATGACCTTCAGCAGGTCATTAGACCTCTCTGGTTCAGTGAGCTAGGAGGGACCTTTACCTCTTCCATTCTGTGGTTATGATTCATGTCAGGCAGTCATTTTATTAATGTGACAGGAATGGCTTTAGGCAAAAAATCAAAAGGATTTCATTTTCAGTGTGGATCTATGCCTCTATTCGGCAGGCCCTAACTAGTAGATGATCAAAGCTCTGTTTCTCTTCTGGCCCCATGTGCATTGAGGACATTGCTGCTGTTTCTTAAGAGCTTGGGATTTGCCATCTGCTTGGCAAAATTGGCTTTACCTGATGCCCATGTTGCTGGGCTCTGCTTTACTCCAATTTGAAAAGACATTAGGAATTCCAGTGGATTTGCTTATTATACCTCCCAGTTAACTTGTTATAGCTTCTAATTAACATTAACTAATGGTACCCAGGGTGATGTACATTAACTAGAGTGCCTTAGTTACCAGGAACAAAACCACCCTTGGAAATGTGGATTACCCAGCAAGTCTGTGTTCTGGCATGGCTTGGGATAGTAGTATAGAGTTCCCTTCTGGCTTTACAGCAAGTCCTTCTTGAAGTTTTGCAGTTCTCTTGTCTTAGATGCTTTCTACCTCTACCTCCCCATTTTCCCTTTGGAAATATTTTTTGGAAAACAAAAAAAAAGGCTTTGAAGTTTTCTAAGAAAAAATGGTAACAATTTACTTGTCATTCACTAACCAAAAATTTCTTTCAGAACGCTCCAGAACAATCAGTTGAAAACAGTACCCAGTGAAGCCATTCGAGGGCTGAGTGCTTTGCAATCTTTGTAAGTACTTTCTTGGTTTCCTGCATTCTTGACTTACCAAGGGACTACTCTGGCTGTTTAGGGTGTAAAGAACTGGAATCCTAAGGAAAGAGGAGATTTATCCTTTCATCTCAGATAAAAAGAGAGATAGCTAATCAGTATTATCAAAATGTCCTTTGGTGAAGGAGAAGGAGGTGGTTCTGTTTACCTTTTTTCTTGTCTTAAAGGCTGAGAGAAAGCTACTGGGTATTCATTGCTGGGTGTACTTCCATGAACTTGTGCACAGCTGGTGATCAGCACCTCTTTGGAACCAGTTGTGTGTGTGCAGAAGTTTTAGTGTCTTGTGCCTTGACTGTCAAGAACAGCCACAAAGAGGTTTCTGTTTCACATGGTAATGGTAATCAGAACAAATTGATTATAATTCCTCAATTTGGTGAAGGGAACTTCCCAGAAAAAATGAAAAAGTATTCTTCAAATCAAGGAACCTCATTAGCTCCTACTAGAATAATGAATACAAATTTGCATTGCCTCACTTCATGTCCTAAATACCAAATACAATGGAACTCTGGGGCGTAGTTTCTCTGAGTGTGGTAGTTTGACCATGCTTTGCAACAGACTCACTAGGGGAAGATTGCTGAAATGCAGATCCCTAGGCTGTATTCTAGAAGTAATGCTGTTTTCTTTTAAAAGGTAGAATTCAGAAGTCTAATTTTAAATAATCTCCCTAGAAGCACTCTGAATAAAAAATGTTAATAGTTAATCCCCCTATGTGTGCTGGTATAAAATTGCATTTTAGTGACATTACATATTTGTATACTAATCTGTCTCTTAGATTTTGTATTATACTTTGAAATAACTGCAAATAGTAGGAAATGCACACAAGTTAGAAAACAGGATGAAAATGACCGAGCTGCTTGTCCCATCAATTTGCTAACATAAAGCCATTTTTAACTGCACCAAAGAGACATCCCTGCAAATTATAAATTATGGATTATTATTTGATTTTAGATTAGATATTCTAGTCGTTAATGAGCAATGAATGTGAAACTAAAAATATATACTACTAATAAAAATGTATGCTATAAAATTAAACTTTAAACTGTATCTACCCCATAAACAGGGAGTATCCAGGATGTTGGCCATTTGGTTCCTGGTTTAAAAGGAAGTTTAATTTAAGGTGGTCTGTATTAAATAGCTCCCTTCACTAAAATGGTAAGTTAGGAATATAAGGATTTTTCACCACAGCTAATTGTGAAGGTTCTGAACAGACTTTAAAAATGAATCAGTGGGAGCTGTTGGTGGCTCACGCCTGTAATCCCAGCACTTTGGGAGGCCAAGGCGGGCAGGTCACATGGTTAGGAGTTAGAGACTAGCTTGGCCAATGTAGTGAAACCCTGTCGCTACACACACACACACACACACACACACACACAATGAATCAATGGGAATGGGAATGAGGTCCCTTATAGAAATGTTACTTGACTGACTTCACACACTCTCTCACCTCGGATGTATGTACACAGAGGCAGTCATCTGACCTCTCTTGGACCTGAATTCATCAGGCATTTTAAATAGTTCTTATTTTCTTTTACTTCTTAAGAATTTATTTTACTTCAAGACCTACATATTGAATTGTCATTTTGCAAGATTTACTAATCAAAATACTCAATTATTTTGTCTAGTTTACAGGCTAAAAAAGAGGAGACTGAAATCTCATTTGCAACTTTAGAACAGAAAAATTACCCAGAAAACATACAAATATTCTCTCTAATTGTGGTCAATAAGTACATTAATGTACAGAAGACATTTATTGGTAATGTAGATGATTTAAAGTAGTGTTTTTCACAGAGATCATAGGTTTCGCTCTCATGTTTTAAAAAAGCATATTTATCATTCATGGAGCAAATTTCTTAGTTTAAATTATCTCCAAAATTGGGATGAGTATATAGAGTGGAGGTAAAACAAACTTTTTTTAAAGGCATTGGGGTGTTTTCATAGATAGCAGAAACACAAGGTGCTGCTATGTGACTGGCCTGTTTTATTTAAGAAGGAAATGTTCATACGTTTGTTAGCAGAGTGTGTGCAGTGGTGAAGTTAGATACAATTGAAGTTTTGTCATGGTGTAAAACAGTCTTATCAGCACTTGAGTCATTCTGAAAATCTGTTCTTCAGATCTGAATTACATGAAAGATTTCATTGTGGTTTTGAATAGTGCCTAAAAGAAGCAAAGTTCATTAGGGATTGAAATTGACCACAAGTGGTTTGATGCAAGTGTATATTTGATAATGACTTATAAAATCAGAAAGTCAATTGTTGATACTAATAAATAGGTTGCATAATTGCCTCCCATAAAGCCAAAAAGGCTAAAGCATTACTTTAGCAGACTATTAAAGTGACATGTCATAATTACCTCCACTGGAAATTTTTTAATATCAGATTACATTTTTATTGAACATTAAAAGATCTCAAAGATTAAATTTCCTAGGTTTTTCTCAGTTTTAAAATATGTTTACAACATTTACATTATTGGTAAGTTAGAACAGAGAGAAAGGAGATCTTTTGATTATACAGGTGTTTATTGATAACAAAGACTTTCAACAGGTAAATATCTGCATTTAATATTATTTTGTTGCTGTAGTTTGTTTAGACAAGAAATTTTAAAACACATGAAACTCAGTCAATTGTAAAATAGGCTTTTGAGAATAGGGAATACAAGCATGTTTTCCAGACTAAAATAGCAAAGAAATTGAGTGGATAAATATGTCATTCACTGTTTAACAATAAAACTGTGCCTAAATAAAGCAGTAGTTTATCTCTTACCACATGTAGTTTAAATAGTAAAATACCTTGAATAAACCCTCATACTCTTTCCACTTTGTGAGATATCTGATGCTTTTCAGCATTTACTTAAAGAATTATAGTATTTTCTTCATCTGTTAGTTAGGATGAGTACTAATAGCATAGGTCATTCCTACAAAGCCACACTGAAACAGTGCTGTGAAGCACTGGTCTCAGTATAAGTACAGACTCTTTACTTTTATGAGTGTGTCACCACACACACATGTGAATTGAGGAATAAGGATTAACCATTTCAGTCACCAAAAATTGTTTTTCTCATTAAACCTCTTAAGAGTTTCATTTTTTCATAGTTCTTTAATCCCTACTTAGGTGTGACTTCAAAATTTTTGGAAATTTTTAGTACAGAGAAAATTGTGTCCATGCTTTTATTGTTGTATTATGCTATTTTATTGTTGTACTTAATGCTGTTTTGTATAGACAATAGTTTCATTATTGTCTTAGCTCAAAACTCACCTAGTTTTATAGCAATAAGTTAAGGCCATCCTTTTTCCTTGATGACACAGAATTCAAAGGAGTTTAAAGGTTGTATAAGGTACTGAATTTATATTAAAAAGGTACTGACAACTTTCGTTATTATTGTATTTTCTGTATCAATGGAGGTATTGTAGATATTTGGAGGTGCTTGCATACTATTTTATTTTTTTATGAGAAATTTAAAAATACTTTTAATTAGGTGAAGGGGAAAATATAATTTATTAAACACTATAGGATAACGCAAGAGAAGTGTTTAGAGGGAAATTTGTAATACTACACATATTTTAGGAAAGAAAAATGACCTAAAATCAATAATTTAAGCTTACATCTTAGGAAAAGAAGAGCAAACAATATCCAAAAATAAGCAGCAGAAAACTTAAAAATATGATAGCAGAAATCAATGCGGTCGAAAACAGGAAATCAATAAAGAAAAATCAGTTAATCCCAAAGGTGTTTTTTTTTCTTTTTTTTAATTGCATTTTAGGTTTTGGGGTACTTGTAAAGAACATGCAAGATTGTTGCATAGATACACACATGGCAGTGTGATTTGCTGCCTTCCTCCCCTTCACCTATATTTGGCATTTCTCCCCATGCTATCTCTCCCCAACTCCCCACCCCCCACTGTCCCTCCCCTATTTTCCCCCAACAGACCCCAGTGTGTGATGCTCCCCTCCCTGTGTCCATGTGTTCTCATTGTTCAACACCCGCCTATGAGTGAGAAAATGCGGTGTTTGATTTTCTGTTCTTATGTCACTTTGCTGAGAATGACAGTTTCCAGGTTCATCCATGTCCCTACGAACTCATCGTTTTTAATGGTGGCATAATATTCCATGGTGTGTATGTGCCACATTTTCCCTGTCCAGCCTATCATCGATGGGCATTTGGGTTGTTCTAGGTCTTTGCTATTGTAAACAGTGCTGCAATGAACATTCGTGTGCATGTGTCCTTATAGTAGAACGATTTATAATCCTTTGGATATGTACCCAGTAATGGGATTGCTGGGTCAAATGGAATTTCTATTTCTAGGTCCTTGAGGAATCGCCACACTGTCTTCCACAATGGTTGAACTAATTTACACTCCCACCAACAGTGTAAAAGTGTTCCTATTTCTCCACATCCTCTCCAGCATCTGTTGTCTCCAGATTTTTTAATGATCGCCATTCTAACTGGTGTGAGATGGTACTCTCAGTTTAGTTTTGATTTGCATTTCTCTAATGACCAGTGATGATGAGCATTTGTTCATATGTTTGTTGGTCTCATGTATGTCTTCTTTTGTAAAGTGTCTGTTCATATCCTTCGCCCACTTTTGAATGGGCTTGTTTGTTTTTTTCCTGTAAATCTGTTTGAGTTCTTTGTAAATTCTGGATATCAGCCCTTTGTCAGTTGAGTAGACTGCAAAATTTTTTTCCCATTCTGTTGGTTGCCGATTCACTCTAATGACTGTTTCTTTTGCCGTGCAGAAGCTGTGGAGTTTGATTAGGTCCCACTTGTCTATTTTGGCTTTTGTTACCAATGCTTTTGGTGTTTTGGTCATGAAGTCCTTGCCTATGCCTATGTCCTGAATAGTTTTGCCTAGATTTTCTTCTAGGGTTTTTATAGTGTTAGGTCTTATGTTTGAGTCTTTAATCCATCTGGAGTTAATTTTAGTGTAAGGTGTCAGGAAGGGGTCCAGTTTCAGCTTTCTGCAC